TTTTTTTAAATCTAATGAGCGCTAAATTATTATTATTTTCAAAAAAAAAAGAAACAAACGCATGATGTTGGTTCCAATAGAAAGGGAGGAAGATGATGTGAAGAAGAAGGGGGAAGAGAAGAAAAGCAAGGGTATGTATCGGTGGGGGTGGTAATTGAAATGTACATTACTTTTTTTTTTATCCAGCTTCATATTTGCTTAAGAGGAATTTTCTAATATGTAAGCAAGGTCTTGTATATTTTGTTTTACAATGATGTTCACTCTGTACAAGGCCCAAGAGCCACTCAAGGTATGGAGTTAAAGAGTAAGAGGCAAAGCTTATATAGATATGTGGGTAAGATAACATTTAACCCTAGACAGGAACAGGTTATGATTGTAATGGGGAAGCATCCTCTTCAGAATCAGTTCCACAAGTTAGTGGTTCAGAGGAGGCAGCTACGCAAGGGAAACTTACATATTACCAATAACATAAAAAGGGAATAAGGGTCGTTCACTACAACGTATGAGGCATGGTGGGTTTTAGCCATGAAGGTTAGGGTTTTTGTAGAACTAACGAGTACCATTTATCTGTGAAACATGGAAAGAGTGACAGAACAACAAGAGACTTGTAACCTCTCATCTGTGGAAAAGGAGTTGTGGAGTTATTTCACAGTGGAGGCTTGTATTTGTACTAAATCGGTCCTAAATAGTTTGACATACAAAACGTTAGGAACTTGATATAATAGGTATTACGCAGAGTAATCTTGTTGCGGTCGCTGACTACTTTCGTATTCGACTGTCGACTACTGTTGTCCAACATCGACTGACCCTCATTTCTCTTACTATTCCTACTTATATTAGGTGGGAGTGTTTATTAACTATAGAATAGGTGTGTTTCACCATAAGAAGGGCGAAAAATAATTCATCACCCACAAGTAGGTGGAGAGGGATTGGACTCTATCATGAGCACATATATTGCAGCAGTACTCCATTTTCAAGCTGATCTGGCTTGTGCAAAGGTAAAGGATAGCACGAGGAGTCAGGTACTTGCTGGAGCGAGACAGGGAACTGACCATTTTTGCAGCGCCTTTAGTAATGCATCAATATGTATGATGAGTTCCACTTGTGGTCTGAGCTGAGTTTGTCCTAATAAGCAGTCAATCAATGGGGTCTCTCTTAGAGAACATCTATTCATCACAATTAATGAAAGTTCTGGTTTCAATCGATGACTGTTTTAAAAAAACAATTTATTATGACTGATTATTAGTTCAGTAATACTTCATCGCTTTCTCAAATTTCAAAGAATTTTGTTAGAATCTTTTTGTGTTTGTCTTGTCTGATTTTCACACGTCTGCACGTTGAGAGCACCTCTCTTGACTGAGAAAAAAAACTGGTGTTATATAGCTTTCCCAGTCCCAGACCCATGCTGCCTATTGGCTAATATCTGCCCAGTATCATTCGTATGCAAATAGTCAGTGCCACCTACTCTAAGTAGAAGGTCTTCTCTCAACAGCCCATTGTAGAAGGGGGCGCAACTCCTGGTGCTTACAGCATCATATACAATAAACTCAGAATATCTACTGGGCCGACCCGATTCTCTGTTACATTTTTCTGCGTGCCATCAGCATGGCTGATGCTAAACCCCAAGAGATCAACACTCTGCACCTTCTTGGGCTCATGTTTTCCACTAACATGAAGTGAAATAACTATACTAATACAATAGCTACATCTATAGCTGGAAAACTTGATTCACTGTGTTGAACCAGAGAATTTTTCTCATCAGAATCCATATTATACATTGATAAATCTACTATTAATCCATGCATTGGATACTGCTGCCATATCTGGTCTGGTGCTTCTGCTATATATCGTGAGATTCTTCACAAAATTCAAAGAATCTGTAATGTAATTGATCTTGACCAGGCATCTGGACTGCAATCAATTTCTCACCAATGTGATGTGGCTTCCCTCTATCTTTTCTGCAAATATTTTCATAGCAATGGCTCTGATGAGTTTTTTTACCTACTGACTTGACTGCATGAATTTAACCTTGCTGCAAGATTGGCAACAAGGTCTCACTATTTTACTGTTGAATTAGCTACCCCACTTCTAACACTATTTCTTCACACTTCTCAGCTGAGGAAGGCACTTCTGATTTCTTGCTACCCTGCTACCTACAATCTTCAGAAATTTAAATGTAATATCAACTGCCATCTTCTGTCTTCTTGAACACTGTTCCTTTATTGTCCTTTTTCTCTTCATTAAAGTCTTCACATTCTCTTTCACTGCCAGTAAACCCTTGCGTCTTAGTAGCATTATTGCCATCTTCTGTCTTCCTGAATCCTGTTCTTTTATTGTCCTTTCTCCTCACTTCTCCTCATTAAAGTCTTCACATTCTCTTTCACTGCCAGTAAACCCTTGCGTCTTAGTAGCATTATTGCCATCTTCTGTCTTCCTGAATCCTGTTCTTTTATTGTCCTTTCTCCTCACTTCTTCTCATTAAAGTCTTCACATTCTCTTTCACTGCCAGTAAACCCTTGCGTCTTAGTAGCATTATTGCCATCTTCTGTCTTCCTGAATCCTGTTCTTTTATTGTCCTTTCTCCTCACTTCTCCTCATTAAAGTCTTCACATTCTCTTTCACTGCCAGTAAACCCTTGCGTCTTAGTAGCATTATTGCCATCTTCTGTCTTCCTGAATCTGTTCTTTTATTGTCCTTTCTCCTCACTTCTCCTCATTAAAGTCTTCACATTCTCTTTCACTGCCAGTAAACCCTTGCGTCTTAGTAGCATTATTGCCATCTTCTGTCTTCCTGAATCCTGTTCTTTTATTGTCCTTTCTCCTCACTTCTTCTCATTAAAGTCTTCACATTCTCTTTCACTGCCAGTAAACCCTTGCGTCTTAGTAGCATTATTGCCATCTTCTGTCTTCCTGAATCCTGTTCTTTTATTGTCCTTTCTCCTCACTTCTCCTCATTAAAGTCTTCACATTCTCTTTCACTGCCAGTAAACCCTTGCGTCTTAGTAGCATTATTGCCATCTTCTGTCTTCCTGAATCCTGTTCTTTTATTGTCCTTTTACTCCTCACTTCTCCTCATTAAAGTCTTCACATTCTCTTTCACTTATTTGCCTCTAAACCCTTTTCTTTCACTGCGTCTTAGTAGCATTATTGCCATTTCTGTCTTCCTGAATCCTGTTCTTTTTTGTCCTTTCCTCACTTCTCCTCATTAAAAGTCTTCACATTCTCTTTCACTGCCAGTAAACCCTTGCGTCTTAGTAGCATTATTGCCATCTTCTGTCTTCCTGAATCCTTTCTGTTTTTATTGTCCTTTCTCCTCACTTCTCCTCATTAAAGTCTTCACATTTTCTTTCACTGCCAGTAAACCCTTGCGTCTTAGTAGCATTATTGCCATCTTCTGTCTTCCTGATCACTGTTCCTTTTATTGTCCTTTCTCCTCCTCAAAACTTCTTCTCATTAAAGTTTTTCATTTCTCTTTCACTGCCAGTAAACCCTTGCGTCTTAGTAGCATTTCTTTCCATCTTCTGTCTTCCTGAACACTGTTCCTTTATTTTGTCCTTTCTCCTCACTTCTCCTCATTAAAGTCTTCATTTTCTCTTTCACTGCCAGTAAACCCTTGCGTCTTAGTAGCATTATTGCCATCTTCTGTCTTCCTGAATCCTGTTCTTTTATTGTCCTTTCTCCTCACTTCTCCTCATTAAAGTTCTTCACATTCTCTTTCACTGCCAGTAAACCCTTTCCTCAAAGTCTTAGTAGCATTATTGCCATCTTCTGTCTTCCTGAACTGTTCCTTTATTGTCCTTTTCTCCTCCACTTCTTCTCATTAAAGTCTTCACATTCTCTTTCACTGCCAGTAAACCCTTGCGTCTTAGTAGCATTTCTCTTCATTGCCATCTTCTTTCTTCCTGAATCATGTTCTTTTATTGTCCTTTCTCCTCACTTCTTCTCATTAAAGTCTTCTCATTTTCTTTCACTGCCAGTAAACCCTTGCGTCTTAGTAGCATTATTGCCATCTTCTGTCTTCCTGAACACTGTTCCTTTATTGTCCTTTCTCCTCCTTCTTCTCATTAAAGTCTTCACATTCTCTTTCACTGCCAGTAAACCCTTAACGTCTTAGTAGCATTATTGCCATCTTCTGTCTTCCTGAATCCTGTTCTTTTATTGTCCTTTCTCCCTCACTTCTTTTCTCATTAAAAGTCTTCTCATTTTCTTTCACTGCCAGTAAACCCTTGCGTCTTAGTAGCATTATTGCCATCTTCTGTCTTCCTGAATCCTGTTCTTTTTTGTCCTTTCTCCTCACTTCTCCTCATTAAAGTCTTTTCACTTCATTCTCTTTCACTGCAGGTAAACCCTTGCGTCTTAGTTATCATTATTGCCATCTTCTGTCTTTTCTGAATCCTGTTTCTTTTTTATTGTCCTTTCTCCTCACTTCTCCTCATTAAAGTCTTCACATTCTCTTTCACTGCCAGTAAACCCTTGCGTCTTAGTAACATTTCTCTTCCATCTTCTGTCTTCCCTGAACACTGTTCCTTTATTGTCCTTTCTCCTCACTTCTCCTCATTAAAGTCTTCACATTCTTTTCTTTCACTGCCAGTAAACCCTTGCGTCTTAGTAGCATTATTGCCATCTTCTGTCTTCCTGAATCTGTGTTCTTTTATTGTCCTTTCTCCTCACTTTTTCCCTCATTAAAGTCTTCATTATTTTTCTCTTTCACTGCCAGGAAAACCCTTGCGTCTTAGTAGCATTAACACTGTTCTGCCATTACTTCTGTCTTTCACCCAGTAACCCCCTGAGTCTTGTTAGCCTTATCACCATATTTTGTCTTCCTCCTCAAAGTTTTTATTGTCTTTTCTCTCATTAAAAGTTTTCTCATTTCTCTTTCACTGCCAGTAAACCCTTGCGTCTTAGTAGCATTATTGCCATCTTCTGTCTTTCCTGAATCTTATTTGCTTTTCTCTTCATTACTCCTTTTCTCATTTTCTTTCATTAAAACCCTTGAGTTAGTAGCCTTATCTATTTTGTCTTTCCTCACCTGCTTACTGCATTTCTCTTCTTTACTGTTTTCCTCATTTTTCTTTCCTTTGGTAGCCCTTATCTCTCCTTTGTCTTTCCTCAAAGTCTTCACTGTTTTTCTCTTTCACTGCCAGTAAACTTGCGTCTTAGTAGCATTATTGCCATCTTCTGTCTTCCTGAACACTGTTCCTTTATTGTCCTTTCTCCTTTCTTTCTTTCACTCATTTCATTCTCTTTCCTCACTTATTTGCTTTTCTCTAAACCCTTAACGTCTTAGTAGCATTATCACCATCTTCTGTCTTTCCTCAACACTTATTTGCTTTTCTCTTCATTACAGTCCTTTTTCTTTCAGTAAAGTCATTTATCACCATATTTTGTCTTTCCTCTGCCATTTGCTTTTCTCTTCAAACCTCATTTTCTTTCACTGCCAGTAACTTGCGTCATGCATTATCACCATCTTCTGTCTTCCTCAACACTGTTTTCTTTCATTATTTTTCTCCTTTTTCTCTTCATTCAAAGTCTTCACATTTTTGTCTTTCCTCACTGCCATTAAATTTTCTTTCCTGCCAGTTTGCGTCTTAGGTAGCATTATCACCATCTTTTGTCTTTCCTCAACACTTCTTTTTCTCTTCATTACTGTTTTTTTTCTTTCATTGCCAGTAAAGTCATGGTCTTATCACCATATTTTGTCTTTCCTCACTTATTTGCTTTTCTCTTCATTACCTCATTTTCTTTCACTGCCAATGTAACCGGTTGCGTCATGGTAGCCTTATCACCATATTTTCTTCCTTTCCTCTTCATTACTGTTTTCTTTTATTTCTCTTCCTTACTGTTTTTCATTTTCTTTTTCTTTCTGCCAGTAACTGCCAGTAAACACCATATTTTGTCTTTCTTTCATTCTCTTCATTTTTTCTCTTTCCTCAAAGCTTTATTGTCCTTTTTCCTCACAGCTTATTTGCTTTTCTCTCATTAAAGTTTTCTCATTTTCTTTCACTGCCAGTAACCCCTTGAGTCTTAGTAGCCTTATCACCATATTTTGTCTTTCCTCAACTTATTTGTTTTCTCTTCATTGTCCTTTTCTCATTTTCTTTCACTCATTAAAGTCTTCCTTATCACCATTTTGTCTTTCCTCAAGTTAAACCATTTTCTTTCACTGCCAGTAACCTTAGTATGGTAGCCTTATCACCATATTTTGTCTTTCCTCAAAGCATTTGCTTTTCTCTTCATTACTGTTTTCTCATTTTCTTTCCTCCAGTAACCCCTTGAGTCATGGTAGCCTCTTTCCTCAAAAGCTCTTCATTACTGTTTCTTTTTCTCTTCATTAAAATCTTTTTCTTTCTTTTCTTTCAAGCTGTTGCCTTAGTAATTTTTATCCCATATTTTGTCTTTCCTCAAAGCTTATTTTGCTTTTTTTCTCTCTTCATTACTGTTTTCTTCATTTTCTTTCACTGCCCAGTAACCCATAGCTTGAGTCATTAGCCTTATCACCATATTTTGTCTTCCTCCTCCTTATTTTTTTCTCTTCATTAAAGTTTTCTCATTTTCTTTCACTGCCAGTAAACCCTTGCGTCTTAGTAGCCTTATCACCATATTTTGTCTTTCCTCAACACTGTTTATTTCCTTTTCTCTTCATTACTGTTTTCTCATTTTCTTTCACTGCCAGTAACCCCTTGAAAGCCTTATCACCATATTTTTGTCTTTCCTCATTTATTTTTTTCTCTTCATTACTGTTTTCTCATTTTCTTTCACTGCCAGTAACCCTTTAGTCATGGTAGCCTTATCCCATATTTTGTCTTTCCTCAAAGTTCTTTGCTTTTCCTTTTCTTTTCATTGTTTTCTCATTTTCTTTCACTGCCAGTAACCGGTTGAGTCATTATTGCCTTATCACCATATTTTGTCTTTCCTCAAAGCTTATTTGCTTTTCTCTTCATTACTGTCTTCCATTTTCTTTCACTGCCAGTAACCGGTTTGAGTCTTTTTATCACCATCCTTTCCTCAAAGCTTTTTTGTTTTCTTTTCTCCTCATTACTGTTTTCACATTCTTTCTTTCTTTTACTGCCAGTAAACCCTTGCGTCTTAGTAGCCTTATCACCATATTTTGTCTTTCCTCAATCCTGTTCTTTTTCTTTCACTGCCAGTATTGCTTTTCTCTTCTTCTCATTAAAGTTTTCTCATTTTCTTTCACTGCCAGTAACCCCTTGAGTCTTAGTAGCCTTATCACCATATTTTGTCTTTCCTCATTTTGTTTTCTCTTCATTACTGTTTTTCTCATTTTCTTTCACTGCCAGTAACTTTTCTCTTCATTTTTGTCTTTTTTTCTCTCATTTTTTTTTTCTTTTTTTTTTTTCACTGCCAGTAACCCTTGAGTCATAAGTAGCCTTATCACCATATTTTGTCTTTCCTCAAAGCTTATTGTTTTCTCTTCATTACTGTTTTCTCATTTTCTTTCACTGCCAGTAACCGGTTGAGTCATGGTAGCCTTATCACCATTTTTGTCTTTCCTCAAAACTTATTTGCTTTTCTCTTCATTACTGTTTTCTCATTTTCTTTTCTCTTCATTAGCCTTATCACATTTTTTGTCTTTCCTCAAAGCTTCCTTTCATTACTGTTTTCTCATTTTTCTTTCTGTAACCAGGTTGAGTCTGGTAGCCTTATCACCATATTTTGTCTTTCCTCAAAGCTTTTTGCTTTTCTCTTCATTACTGTTTTCTCATTTTCTTTCACTGCCAGTAACCGGTTGAGTCAAACCACCATATTTTGTCTTTCCTCAAAATTTATTTTCTTTCTTCTTTTTCTCATTTTCCTGCCAGTAACCTGTTCATTTATTGTCACCATATTTTGTCTTTCCTCCAAGCTTATTTCTTTTCTCTTCATTACTGTTTTCTCATTTTCTTTCACTGCCAGTAAACCCTTGAGTCTTAGTAGCCTTATCACCATATTTTGTCTTTCCTCAAACTGTTCTTTTATTGTCCTTTTCTCTTCATTAAAGTTTTCTCATTTTTCTTTCACTGCCAGTAAACCCTTGAGTCATAGTAGCCTTATCACCATATTTTGTCTTTCCTCAAGCTTATTTGCTTTTCTCTTCATTACTGTTTTCTCATTTTCTTTCACTGCCAGTAACCGGTTGAGTCTTTAGCCTTATCACCATATTTTGTCTTTCCTCCTTTTTTTTCTCATTTCTTCATTAAACCATATTTTGTCTTTCCTCATTTTCTTTCATTACTGCCAGTTTTCTTTCCAGTAACCCTTTGAGTCGTCTTTTTGTCTTTCCTCATTATTTGCCTCTTTCATTACTTTTTCTCATTTTCTTTCACTGTCTTCCTTGAATCATGGTTCACCATATTTTCCTTTCCTCCTTATTTGCTTTTCTCTTCATTAAAGTTTTCTCATTTTCTTTCACTGCCAGTAACCCCTTGAGTCATGGTAGCCTTATCACCATATTTTGTCTTTCCTGTCTTTTCCTTCATTACTGTTTTTCTCATTTTTCTTTCACTTAACCGGTTTCCTTTTATCACCATATTTGTCTTTCCTCATTAAAGTTTTCTTTCATTACTGTTTTCTTTCTTTCACTTTTGAGTCATGGTAGCCTTATCACCATATTTTGTCTTTCCTCAAAGCTTTTCTCTTCATTTGCTTTTTCTCTCTTCCTGAATTTTTCCTCATTTTTGCTTTTCTCTTCATTACTGTTTCCAGTAACCCTTGAGTCATGGTAGCCTTATCACCATTTTTGTCTTTCCTCAAAGCTTATTTGCTTTTCTCTTCATTACTGTTTTCTCATTTTCTTTCCTGCCAGTAACCGGGTTGAGTCATTAGCCTTTATCACCATATTTTGTCTTTCACTATTTTTAATTACCCTTTTTCGTCTTGAGTAGCCTTATCACCATCTTTTGTCTTTCCTCAATCCTTTCTTTGCTTTTCTCTTCATTACTGTTTCTTCTCATTTTCTTTCACTGCCAGTAACCCCTTGAGTCATGGTAGCCTTATCACCATATTTTGTCTTTCCTCAAAAGTTTATTTGCTTTTCTCTTCATTACTGTTTTCTCATTTTCTTTCACTGCCAGTAACCCCTTGAGTCATGGTAGCCTTATCACCATATTTTGTCTTTCCTCAATCTTATTTGCTTTTCTCTTCATTGTTTTCTCATTTTCTCTCTTCATTAAAGTCTTCTCATTTTCTTTCACTTATTTGCTTTTAACTTCATTACTGTTTTCTCATTTTAGCACTTATAACCATTGAGTCTGTCTTTCCTCAACTTTTCAAAGCTTATTTTCTTTTCTCTTCATTACTGTTTTCTCATTTCTTTCACGGCCAGTAACTTCTCTTCATTAAAGTCTTCTTTTTTTTTCTTTCACTGCCAGTAACCCCTAAAGTCATTATCCTTATCTTATTTTGTCTTTCCTCAAAGTTATTTGCTTTTCTCTCTTCATTACTGTTTTCTCATTTTCTTTCCTGCCAGTAACCCTGTTGAGTCTTTATTATCACCATATTTGTGTTTTTCCTCAAAGCTTTATTTGCTTTTCTCTTCATTACTGTTTTCTCATTTTCTTTCACTGCCAGTAAACCCTTGCGTCTTTCCTCAAAGCTTATTTGCTTTTCTCTTCATTACTTTTTCTCTTTTCTTTCAAGTAACTGTTCTTTATTTTGTCTTTCCTCAAAGCTTTTTGCTTTTCTCTTCATTAAAGTTTTCTCATTTTCTTTCACTGCCAGTAAACCCTTGGTAGTCACCATATTTTGTAGCATTATTTGCCATTCATTTTGTCTTCCTTTCTTTCACTGCCAGTAACCGGTTGAGTCATTATTTCACTTTTTTGTCTTTCCTTAAAGTTTTTCTTATTTTTTCTTTTTCTTTCACTGCCAGTAACCCTTGAGTCATGGTAGCCTTATCACCATATTTTGTCTTTCCTCAAAGCTTATTTTATTGTCTTTTCTCTTCATTACTGTTTTCTCATTTTCTTTCACTGCCAGTAACCAGTTGAGTCATGTCTTGGTAGCCTTATCACCATATTTGCTTTCTCTTTCCTTTCACTTTTTGAGTCATTTCTTTTTTCCTCTCTTCATTACTGTTTTCTCATTTTCTTTCACTGCCAGTAACCCTTGCGTCATGGTAGCCTTATCACCATATTTTGTCTTTCCTCAACAGCTTATTTGCTTTTCTCTTCATTACTGTTTTCTCATTTTCTTTCACTGCCAGTAACCCTTGAGTCATGGTAGTAGCCTTATCACCATATTTTGTCTTTCCTCAAAGCTTATTTGCTTTTCTCTTCATTACTTTTTTCTCATTTTCTTTCACTGCCAGTAACCCTTGAGTCATTGGTAGCCTTATTGCCATATTTTGTCTTTCCTCAAAGTTCTTATTTGCTTTTCTCTTCATTATTGTTTTCTCATTTTCTTTCACTGCCAGTAACCCCTTGAGTCATGGTAGCCTTATCACCATATTTTGTCTTTCCTCAAAGCTTATTTGCTTTTCTCTTCATTACTGTTTTCTCATTTTCTTTCACTGCCAGTAACCCCTTGAGTCATGGTAGCCTTATCACCATATTTTGTCTTTCCTCAAATTTGCTTTTCCTTTGTTTTCTCATTTTCTCTTCATCATATCACCATATTTTGTCTTTCCTCATTTTTGCTTTCTCTTCACTGCCATTTTCTTTCACTGCCAGTAACCCCTTGAGTCATAGTAGCCTTATCACCATATTTTGTCTTTCCTCATTATTTTTTTCTCTTCATTACTGTTTTCTTTTTTCCTCAAACCGGTTGAGTCATGGTAGCCTTATCATTTTTTGTCTTTCCTCACAGCTTTTTTCTCTTCATTACTGTTTTCTCATTTTCTTTCACTGCCAGTAAACGGTTGAGTCATGGTAGCCTTATCACCATATTTTGTCTTTCCTCAAAGCAGCTTTTCTTTTATTTGCTTTTCTCTTCATTAAAGTTTTCTCATTTTCTTTCACTGCCAGTAACCCCTTGAGTCATGGTAGCCTTATCACCATATTTTGTCTTTCCTCTTATTTGTTTTCCTTTTTACTGTTTTCTCATTTTCTTTTCACTCTTTATTGTTTGTCTTTCCTCCTCTTTTCTTCATTACTGTTTTCTTTTCACTGCCAGTAACCGGTTGAGTCATGGTAGCCTTATCACCATATTTTGTCTTTCCTCAAAGCTTATTTGCTTTTCTCTTCATTACTGTTTTCTCATTTTCTTTCACTGCCAGTAACCGGTTGAGTCATGGTAGCCTTATCACCATATTTTGTCTTTCCTCAAAGCTTATTTGCTTTTCTCTTCATTACTGTTTTCTCATTTTCTTTCACTGCCAGTAAACCCTTGAGTCATGGTAGCCTTATCACCATATTTTGTCTTTCCTCAAAAAGCTTATTTGCTTTTCTCTTCATTACTGTTTTCTCATTTTCTTTTCACTGCCAGTAACCGGTTGAGTCTGGTAGCCTTATCACCATATTTTTGTCTTTCCTCAAAGCTTATTTGCTTTTCTCTTCATTACTGTTTTCTCATTTTCTTTCACTGCCAGTAACCCCTTGAGTCATGGTAGCCTTATCACCATATTTTGTCTTTCCTCAAAGCTTATTTGCTTTTCTCTTCATTACTGTTTTCTCATTTTCTTTCACTTTCCAGTAACCGGTTGAGTCATGGTAGCCTTATCACCATATTTTGTCTTTCCTCAAAGCTTATTTGCTTTTCTCTTCATTACTATTTTTTCTCATTTTCTTTCACTGCCAGTAACCGGTTGAGTCATGGTAGCCTTATCACCATATTTTTTGTCTTTCCTCAAAGCTTATTTGCTTTTCTCTTCATTACTGTTTTCTCATTTTCTTTCACTGCCAGTAACCCCTTGAGTCTTGGTAGCCTTATCACCATATTTTGTCTTTCCTCAAAGCTTATTTGCTTTTCTCTTCATTACTGTTTTCTCATTTTCTTTCACTGCCAGTAACCCATTTTGAGTCTTTCCTCAGTTAGCCTTCATTACTGTATCACCATATTTTTGTCTTTCCTCAAAGCTTATTTGCTTTTCTCTTCATTACTGTTTTCTCATTTTCTTTCTTCCAGTAACCAGTTGAGTCATGGTAGCCTTATCACCATATTTTGTCTTTCCTCAAAAGCTTATTTGCTTTTCTCTTCATTACTGTTTTCTCATTTTCTTTCACTGCCAGTAACCCCTTGAGTCATGGTAGCCTTATCACCATATTTTGTCTTTCCTCAAAGCTTATTTGCTTTTCTCTTCATTACTGTTTTCTCATTTTCTTTCATTTTTCATTAGCCTTATCACCATATTTTGTCTTTCCTCAAAACTATTTGCTTTTTTCTCTTCATTACTGTTTTCTCATTTTCTTTCATTACCATATTTTGTCTTTCCTCTAGTTTTGGGTTAGTCATGTCAACCGGTTTTCTCTCATGGTAGCCTTTATCACCATATTTTGTCTTTCCTCAAAGCTTATTTGCTTTTCTCTTCATTACTGTTTTCTCATTTTCTTTCACTGCCAGTAACCCCTTGAGTCATGGTAGCCTTATCACCATATTTTCTTTCCTCTTCCTTTTCTCTTCATTACTGTTTTTTCATTTTCTTTCACTGCCAGTTTTCTCTATTTTGTCTTTCCTCATTATTTGTTTTCTCTTCATTACTGTTTTCATTTTCTTTCACTGCCAGTAACCCCTTGAGTCATGGTAGCCTTATCACCATATTTTGTCTTTCCTCAAAGCTTATTTGCTTTTCTCTTCATTACTGTTTTCTCATTTTCTTTCACTTGTCCTTGAGTCATGGTAGCCTTTATCACCATATTTTGTCTTTCCTCAAAGCTTATTTGCTTTTCTCTTCATTACTTTTTCTCTTTCCTTTCAAGTAACCGTTTGAGTCATGGTAACCCTTTTTGTCTTTCTTCAAAGCTTATTTGTTTTCTCATTTGTTTTTCATTTCTTTCAGTAACAGTAACCGGTTGAGTCATGGTAGCCTTATCACCATATTTTGTCTTTCCTCAAAGCTTATTTGCTTTTCTCTTCATTACTGTTTTCTCATTTTCTTTCACTGCCAGTAACCGGTTGAGTCATGGTAGCCTTATCACCATATTTTGTCTTTCCTCAAAGCTTATTTGCTTTTCTCTTCATTACTGTTTTCTCATTTTCTTTCACTGCCAGTAACCGGTTTGAGTCATTACTAGCTCTTTTCTCACCATATTTTGTCTTTCCTCAAAGCTTATTTGCTTTTCTCTTCATTACTGTTTTCTCATTTTCTTTCACTGCCAGTAACCGGTTGAGTCATGGTAGCCTTATCACCATATTTTGTCTTTCCTCAAAGCTTATTTGCTTTTCTCTTCATTACTGTTTTCTCATTTTCTTTCACTGCCAGTAACCCCTTGAGTCATGGTAGCCTTATCACCATATTTTGTCTTTCCTCAAAGCTTTATTTGCTTTTCTCTTCATTACTGTTTTCTCATTTTCTTTCACTGCCAGTAACCGGTTGAGTCATGGTAGCCTTATTTTTTGTCTTTCCTCAAAGCTTATTTGCTTTTCTCTTCATTACTGTTTTCTTTTTCTTTCCTGCCAGTAACCGGTTGAGTCATGGTAGCCTTATCACCATATTTTGTCTTTCCTTACTTATTTGCTTTTCTCTTCATTACTGTTTTCTCATTTTCTTTCACTGCCAGTAACCGGTTTGAGTCATGGTAGCCTTATCACCATATTTTGTCTTTCCTCAAAGCTTATTTGCTTTTCTCTTCATTACTGTTTTCTCATTTTTTTTCACTGCCAGTAAAGTCTTGAGTCATGGTAGCCTTATCACCATATTTTGTCTTTCCTCACTTATTTGCTTTTCTCTTCATTAATTTTCTTTCACTGCCAGTAACCGGTTGAGTCATGGTAGCCTTATCACCATATTTTGTCTTTCCTCAAATTATTTGCTTTTCTCTTCATTACTGTTTTTCATTTTCTTTCACTGCCAGTAACCAGTTGAGTCATGTTCCTTATCACCATATTTTGTCTTTCCTCAAAGCTTATTTGCTTTTCTCTTCATTACTGTTTTTCTCATTTTCTTTCACTGCCAGTAACCAGTTGAGTCATGGTAGACTTATCACCATATTTTGTCTTTCCTCAAAGCTTATTTGCTTTTCTCTTCATTACTGTTTTCTCATTTTCTTTCACTGCCAGTAACCAGTTGAGTCATGGTAGCCTTATCACCATATTTTGTCTTTCCTCAAAGCTTATTTGCTTTTCTCTTCATTACTGTTTTCTCATTTTCTTTCACTGCCAGTAACCCCATGGTAGCCTTATCACCATATTTTTATCTTTCCTCAAAGCTTATTTGCTTTTCTCTTCATTACTGTTTTCTTTTCTTTTTTGAGTCATGGTAGCCTTTCACCATGTCTTTCCTCAGTTTTCTCTTCAACTCATTTTCTTTCACTTAACCAGGTTGAGTCATGGTAGCCTTATCACCATATTTTGTCTTTCCTCAAAGCTTATTTGCTTTTCTCTTCATTACTGTTTTCTCATTTTTTCTTTCACTGCCAGTAACCCCTTGAGTCATGGTAGCCTTATCACCATATTTTGTCTTTCCTCAAAGCTTATTTGCTTTTCTCTTCATTACTGTTTTCATTTTTTTCTTTCACTGCCAGTAACCGTTGAGTCATGGTAGCCTTATCACCATATTTTGTCTTTCCTCAAAGCTTATTTGCTTTTCTCTTCATTACTGTTTTTCTCATTTTCTTTCTTTCACTGCCAGTAACCGGTTGAGTCATGGTAGCCTTATCATCACCATATTTTGTCTTTCCTCAAAGCTTATTTGCTTTTCTCTTCATTACTGTTTTCTCATTTTCTTTCACTGCCAGTAACCCCTCATTTTCTTCATGGTAGCCTTATCACCATATTTTTGTCTTTCCTCAAAGCTTATTTGCTTTTCTCTTTCATTACTGTTTTCTCATTTTCTTTCACTGCCAGTAACGGTTGAGTCATGGTAGCCTTTATCACCATATTTTGTCTTTCCTCAAAGCTTATTTGCTTTTCTCTTCATTACTGTTTTTCTCATTTTTTCTCTTTCACTGCCAGTAACCGGTTGAGTCATGGTAGCCTTATCACCATATTTTGTCTTTCCTCAAAGCTTATTTGCTTTTCTCTTCATTACTGTTTTCTCATTTTCTTTCACTGCCAGTAACCAGTTGAGTCATGGTAGCCTTATCACCATATTTTGTCTTTCCTCAAAGCTTATTTGCTTTTCTCTTCATTACTGTTTTCTCATTTTCTTTCACTGCCAGTAACCGGTTGAGTCATGGTAGCCTTATCACCATATTTTGTCTTTCCTCAAAGCTTATTTGCTTTCTCTTCATTACTGTTTTCTCATTTCTTTCACTGCCAGTAACCAGTTTGAGTCATGGTAGCCTTATCACCATATTTTGTCTTTCCTCAAAGCTTATTTGCTTTTCTCTTCATTACTGTTTTCTCATTTTCTTTCACTGCCAGTAACCGGTTGAGTCATGGTAGCCTTATCACCATATTTTGTCTTTCCTCAAAGCTTATTTGCTTTTCTCTTCATTACTGTTTTCTCATTTTCTTTCACTGCCAGTAACCCCTGAGTCATCATAGTAGCTTATCACCATATTTTGTCTTTCCTCACAGCTTATTTGCTTTTCTCTTCATTACTGTTTTCTCATTTTCTTTCACTGCCAGTAACCGGTTGAGTCATGGTAGCCTTATCACCATATTTTGTCTTTCCTCAAAGCTTATTTGCTTTTCTCTTCATTACTGTTTTCTCATTTTCTTTCACTGCCAGTAACCGGTTGAGTCATGGTAGCCTTATCACCATATTTTGTCTTTCCTCACAGCTTATTTGCTTTTCTCTTCATTACTGTTTTCTCATTTTCTTTCACTGCCAGTAACCGTTTGAGTCATGGTAGCCTTATCACCATATTTTGTCTTTCCTCAAAGCTTATTTGCTTTTCTCTTCATTACTGTTTTCTCATTTTCTTTCACTGCCAGTAACCAGTTGAGTCATGGTAGCCTTATCACCATATTTTGTCTTTCCTCAAAGCTTATTTGCTTTTCTCTTCATTACTGTTTTCTCATTTTCTTTCACTGCCAGTAACCCTTGAGTCATGGTAGCCTTATCACCATATTTTGTCTTTCCTCAAAGCTTATTTGCTTTTCTCTTCATTACTGTTTTCTCATTTTCTTTCACTGCCAGTAACCGTTGAGTCATGGTAGCCTTATCACCATATTTTGTCTTTCCTCAAAGCTTATTTGCTTTTCTCTTCATTACTGTTTTCTCATTTTCTTTCACTGCCAGTAACCGGTTGAGTCATGGTAGCATTATCACCATATTTTGTCTTTCCTCAAAGCTTATTTGCTTTTTTTCATTACTTTTCTCTTCATTATTATCACCATTTTTGTCTCATTTTCTTTTACTGTTTTCTCATTTTCTTTCACTGCCAGTAACACATATTTGTCTTCCTTACTTTTTGCTTTTCTTGAGTCATGGTAGCCTTTATCACCATATTTTGTCTTTCCTCAAAGCTTATTTGCTTTTCTCTTCATTACTGTTTTCTCATTTTCTTTCACTGCCAGTAAACCCCTTGAGTCATGGTAGCATTATCACCATATTTTGTCTTTCCTCAAAGCTTATTTGCTTTTCTCTTCATTACTGTTTTCTCATTTTCTTTCACTGCCAGTAACCGGTTGAGTCATGGTAGCCTTATCACCATATTTTGTCTTTCCTCAAAGCTTATTTGCTTTTCTTCATTTGTTTTCTCATTTTTCTTTCACTGCCAGTAACCGGTTGAGTCATGGTAGCCTTATCACCATATTTTGTCTTTCCTCAAAACTTATTTGCTTTTCTCTTCATTACTGTTTTCTCATTTTCTTTCACTGCCAGTAACCGGTTGAGTCATGGTAGCATTATCACCATATTTTGTCTTTCCTCAAAGCTTATTTGCTTTTCTCTTCATTACTGTTTTCTCTCATTTTCTTTCACTGCCAGTAACCCCTTGAGTCATGGTAGCCTTATCACCATATTTTGTCTTTCCTCAAAGCTTATTTGCTTTTCTCTTCATTATTGTTTTCTCATTTTCTTTTCACTGCCAGTAACCCCTTGAGTCATATTTTGTAGCCTTATCTCTTTCATTATTTTGTCTTTCCTCACAAGCTTATTTGTTTTTGTCTTTCTTTCATTTTGCTTTTCTTTTACTCATTTTCTTTCACTGCCAGTAACCAGTTTAGTCATGGTAGCCTTATCACCATATTTTGTCTTTCCTCAAAGCTTATTTGCTTTTCTCTTCATTACTGTTTTCTCATTTTTTTCACTTTTCCAGTAACTGGTTGAGTCATGGTAGCCTTATCACCATATTTTGTCTTTCCTCAAAGCTTATTTGTCTTTTCCTCTT